AGGATTTCTCGCATGATCTCAGATATTTATTGGGGTAAAAATAAAGAATAAAACTATAATATTTTTGTATAAATAAATAAATAACGAGCAATACAGAATGTTAAATTTTACTAACTTTCAGCAGACATAACATCGGAAATATACTTCAACAGACTTGTTGAAGCATGTTTATGGGAACAGCGAACTTCCTGTTTTGACTTACAATAACGTAGATTTCCATGAACGTAAACCAGCTTTTCAACTCTATCAGTCGACAATCTATTCCTCTTTTTATTGAATATATACTCAAATGAGCTCCAATTATGTTCACACAAGGAAGCTGACGTATGTTGTTTAAAGAGCTTAATGGCCAGTTCTTGCAGTTCAGGGGTCCCACCACCAAGTGTTTCCCAATATTTCATTTTACGTAAGTTGTACAAAACGAACTCCTCAAGAGTTCGTAATTTTGGGTTGATGAGTTCGTAGAGTTCGTTGTCACTGAGGAGTTCGTAGAGTTCGTACGTATCATCTATGCTTCTGTTTATGTTGGGAGTTGCTATTGAAATGTTCGAATTTGGGCAAGCTTATTAGCCTAGGTGTGTCTGATTTCTTCGGAGATGACTTGGGTTTTGGAGCCGTTATGTGCAACCGTAGATCCAGAGTAAAGTAAGCATTGTCTGGTGAGTGACTACGAAGTGTTTCGACCACGTGTTCATTGTTTGAGATTTCTGTTACTGCCCAAACGCCTGTCTTCATGGTTACCGTAGCTACTGAAAGATTAGTGGTTAGGAGGAGTCTAATTTCATTATAAAAGCCTAAATTATTTATGCATTGAATACTAGTACAATCGATGAGAAGAGGAATGATTTATTTTTGTTTAGGATGTTTAAATTGGATAATTTGGGTATTTAAGCAGTGAAACAGTAATTGACTGATGTAAATTCGCTAAATTTTTATAAGTACTCAATGCTCTCGGTGAAGACTATTCTCTGGTGGAGTTAGCACATGAGTTTGACTTCCGCTTTTACCTTCTCCAGTGAAGTGCTCAGTTTATTGATCACATCTTGAGAAGGTGGTCGGTTGAACAGTTTTCCAATTGAACAATTGTTATCTATGTCTTCCTTTGCCCATAAGGAAGTGAGAATTATCCTGCACGCTGCTTGGCATTTTCCCAAGTTTTTAGAAGACATGCTGTGTCCTATGTTTTTATTTTCGTACACGGCCAAGATGTTGAGGCCTGATATCGGATTTCTCTTCAGATCCGTACTAGGATCTAACCGCAGGTGGATTATGTGTGCTGTCAAATCTGTGTCGCACAGGTAAGACAGGAACTGCACTAGTACTGAGGAAGCTCTTTGAATGAAAGATTCTGAATCGTTAGAGCTTGTTCCCTTTTGAGGGTTAATGTAGTCGATCCATTTCTTTCTCCTAAGGAAGTGGAGGAAGAGCGTCACGTGTGCATATGAGCAAAGACCCTGTTGGGACGCTTTGAACATCCTGGTGCCCGCAAAGAACCATTTATAAGTTTTGAACACTTTAACAAAAGGGTAACTGAGCGTGCTGTAATTTCTCAGCAGTTGAGAGTTGTTGATTACGTGACTCCTGTTTTTGCCGGGAGTGGCTATTGATATGTCCACTTCTACGTTCAAACTCAAGTGTTTTAAAGTAATGATAGGCACTATAGCTCTCTTGACCACTCTAGTCACGGAGAAATTGGATTTGTTCGTCCGAAACTGTTAAACGTGTCTAGAGCTTTGCCGATGGTGTCTGAAGATATGGAGACTTATACGTCCACATCCGAGCTGTTCGAACCAAATCCATTTACAAATTTCCCCTTGGCTTCCCCCCTATCAGGCCCACCATCGGGCCCATGATCTTTCTTCGCCGCAAAACCTAAAATAATGGTAGTACATCACAAACTCTGCCATACTACCTTCCGTCTTTTTATAGTCGCGTGAGTGATCAAGTGACACTGATGGACAGTGAAATGTTGAATCACAGCCGCTTCGACTTAGGGTGTTTATTATATAAAGCAGGTGGTGGAATTAGTGAGCAGCGGGGAAGTTGTCTAGAGGCAATGTTTATTTATTTCAGATCCATTTTCAATACGTATATTAGGTAGCCCAATAAGACTTGCTTCCTCCACTTTCTTCTCCAAAGTAAAATGATAATAATTAGTTTTCTAAAGCCGGTGGGAAATAATCCTGATGTTTCTGTTGCTGTTACTGTTAGTATACCTTCTTCGTTACAGTCAAACTTAACTATAACTGTAATAGCTTGAAGTACTTTACTTACATAAAAACCAACAGAGACACGATCATGATTGATGATAAAGTTTTGTAGAAATCAATGAGATACGTATAGTAAGTAGTGAATACAGGAACTGAACGATAAAACAAAATCTCTGGTATGTTGTAAAGTAGAATGGTTAGAATTCTCTTTAGTTCACTTTATTTACAGCGTCCTATGAAGTAGCGTCCTATGAAATGCCGAAAGAACACTTACCTAATCTACTTAACGACTAAACGTACTATATATATATAATATCCAATACAATACTCTTTAATACTACCCTTTCTTCCCCGTCTTTCTCCTTTCTTTATATTTAGGTTGAAACTCGGGGCTGCTGCTCATGGTCTGGAGGGGAAACTAGGATTAGAGTTTTTTAAAAATACTAAAAATAAGGCTAAAAATTACCCAAGAGCAGAAAATCAAACTGCTACTAGTAAAAGGGGTAAACGTGAAAGGAGCTATAAAATAATTCAAGACTAAAAGAAAGTATCAAAATATATGACTCCCACCTGCGGAATGCGGCCACAAAACTAATCAGGCGAATCTCGGCAACTATTTCACAAGTAAGAGGCTGGGGACATTGGACAATGCCTAAATGGTGCAATGTTCTTTTAAGGAGTCTGGATTCCTGGAACTCAAAGGAACATTCTTCTCCAAAGTAAAATGATAATAATTAGTTTTCTAAAGCCGGTTTTCTTGTTAAAAACACACCTTGTCGTTATATGCTCGTATTGAACAAGACGAAAGAGATGAAACTAGATAACCGGCGCTGCTTTATCATGTGGCCGCGATCGTGTGGTCTAGACCAGATTTGATCGTGTGGTGTAGACCAGATTTGGTTCCATCCTTTATTTGATCTAATGTCTGTAGTCTTTACTCACGTGTGTAACGAACCGCCTCCTTCCGCGTTTGAAGCTTGAATATTTACGTCCAAGCGTATGCAAATCTAACTTAATAAAACGTACAAAAACGCTTGCTATATCTTCATCGTCTCTTCCCATCAATGCCTGGTGCCAAATACCAGCAATGTTGGTCCCCTTCTTTCTCAATGGCGAGAAGCTCTCGTTGTACACACATATCCGTCTGGTGCGTGTAACACGCCATGGGGTTAAAATCGATCGCCTCCAGATGGAGCAAGAAATGCGATAATAAGACGTAATAAACTATTCTAAATAAATTAACGATTATTAATATGTAAAAATTATTATCTTCACATAGCAGCTAAAACATTGATAACCACATTACTGAAGAGTAATTATAAAGTTTTCAATGTTTACAGCAGCAGACGAGTCTGGAATGGTTCTGAAAACGAATCATGCTGGACTCGAATTTGTTCACATCATCAAAGATGTCTTTTTCATTCCCAAATCTAAATGATGGAAACCAAGTGATTGGTCGGAAGTTATGTGGAGAAATGATTTTAGCAAGTTATACTGAGCGGATGAGTACACTCGCGTCGGCCTGTTTACATGGTTTCAGTTTCTTTGTAAAATATTCCCAGGTTGAACTGGAGTGTTCAATGGCCTTCTTTTCATGTCTAGTAGTTACTTCTAGTTCTGGAGCTAGGTGTGGTGGAGGACAGCGTTTGTACTTGTGGTTATAATTCTTGTAACACTGTTTTATCTGCGACCTACTACTTCTCTTAAATTGATTGTGGTACCTAAAAGTATTAGGATATTCCGCAATATTGTCCAATACATTTGTATCTTTGAGCAATTTGGCATCATACGTTTCTCTTCCATTTTCATGGATAATTCATTTTTGTTAAATTCAAAACTTTTATACATATAAGATTACAGCAATAACTTTATGTGAAATATTATAAGACATTATAAGATATTGAAAATATATAAGATATTGAAAATATAAAAGAAAAATAAGAAGAATAAAAAGAAAGAATAAAAAAGAAAGAATAAAAAAGAAAGAATTTTTAAAACTTCGTTTTGATAGATCTTGCCTCGCTTAGAGAGCGGTATCTTGCAAGTTGCGTTAGAAAGCAAGGGGAATCTTCTAAAACTGTTGGATACTTAAAATCCCATTCCTGGCAAATATCGACAATGTCCGCTTTAGGCATAAAGTAATATGGTGTAGTTTTGCTTTGGTTTCCAGCAGTAAATACATACGTAGATGAAGCAGCCTTGAACGGATGTAACTAATCATCTCGTATGGTAAGTAGCTATCGTCCTGTAGAATTAGACCGCTGTGATTCTGTTGCCACCGGATTGTATTCCAGTCTCTGGGTCCGATTGTTTTAGCTCTGTTCCAAAAAGTCGAGAAGAATAAAAAAAATAAAAAAGAAAGAATAAAGAATAAAAAAGAAAGAATAAAAAGAAAGAATATAAAATAAAGAATAAAAAATAAAGAATAAAAAGATAACGAGAATGAGTAAATTTAACATAAGCATTGAGCAATGTCATATAAGTTGAGCAATGTCATAATAAGTTATCAGTCTATTAAAATGATCCTTACAATTTTTCCTATGTTAAAATATCACTAGCTGGACTATCTGACCAAATGTTCGATTATCAAACAGATGAATTGGTTATGATTCTCCCATATTCTCGTCGCCAATGTTAATTTTGAGTCTAAACTCAAAAGTACTGGGAATCCCCTGGGAATACATAAATGTGTATGTATACATTACATTAATGTGTATGTATACATCACATTTTAAACGTGGTATACCCACACTTCTGTAGCACCCACCAAACTAACTCCCTATTTTTCAGACGCTGTCCAAATACGCTTCCGAGGTGATTGTATCTGAACTGAAAGCATCCAAGAGGGATCCTGAGTTCCAGTTTTACGATCAGACTGAAACGAAACTCTTCGCGTACAAGTAAGTACCGGTTAAGGTTACCATGGTTACTTTAACAAGTAAGTGTTGGCATCCACTAACCTTGTTATTGTTATTATAGGGACCGTTCAAATATTACATAATCAATTTTGTGGCATTCCGTTATATAATCTAAACATTGACAATGTGCTCTTATTTTTTATTATTCTTGATTGTTTGATAATAACGATTTACGAATAAACAATTGTTAGTGTAAAACTTGCTAAACTAGGTGCCAGATTCATTAACCTGACATATTTCAGTGTAAAACCAGCAGTGTTCGATCTGTTCCTTGCTATCGCCGTTATTGCCTACCTTGGTACAATCTACCTTTGCGTCGGGGTAAACTTTCTTGAGTTATTCTTCCCCTCCCGTGGTGGTATTACCGCGGTTCAATACTTAATAACTTTCAACCGCATTCGGACAGCGTCAATAAATTAACATTTAACATATCTCATCCGCGCTGTAATCGCATATTATAAACTATTGTAATATACCTAATTGTATTGACCCTTGAAATTAAATTTTATAAAGGTTTAAGAGAACTCAAATCCCAAGCAACTTTGATAAACATTTGATTAACATCAACAAATTATCTAAGATTTATAATATAACAGATGATTTTCTAACACACTGAAATTTCAGAGTATCCCACACGGCATGACATACCTGTATCAGATGAAGAAACTGAAATCTTCATGAAAACCCCACAAATACGTGTCATCTATCCCTTGCTTCTGTATCTGTATTCTCTTTATATATGGAACTTTAACTTATCAGAATTCAAGATCATGTAACCGTTTACTATGCTTTTTGTTTTTGCTGAATAGTAAGGTCCTTTGAATAATTCATTTATTTACTCGTTTAATTGGACGTTTAATGTATTGTATACACTATACATGCTCTCCCCAATTTGCTGAAACATATATATTATAGTTTTTGTGGAGTTTTGTTTGTATTATATTTGATAAACTTATACTATTTTCTTCAAATACTTGAGCATTTTAACTTGGTCAATTCAATCTTGAACACGATCAGAACACTTCCAAATATAAAATTCTAGTCCGTTCATTTAATTCTTATAAAAGATTTGATTTTATGATTGATGATAAACCGATGAAATGAATTGATAATTCAATTTCTCTAGAAATCTAGCATGTAAAATTCAGATGATCTACGGTTCATAAAAACATTCATTCGGAGATGAGCAACGAAGTGAGAAGATCTAGCTGGTGGAATGCATTAGTAAATGAGATTTAGCTGGTCGAATACATAAGCCCTCCCCCCCGCCTGTTGAGGAAGAATGTGGCTGAGTGAGGGACACAGTTTGAGGTACGTTATCTCGTACTTAGTTTGGCTGTTTCTTTAACGACCAATATTTTTGTACCAATATCGGTTCAGCTCCCTACATTTGGTAATTTACCCCTTCATTATAGTTACCGCTTGTAGAATGCGAGATTATTTTCTATTGTAGGTAAAGACGTAGTGGATTGCATTATATCGATAGGTGAATATTAGCCGAATAATTTTAGAAGTTATAATATTTAATTAATATCAGTTTGGGTTTTCAATATAGTAATATAATAGTAATATAATATGCCGGCTTGATGCAATCATTTACTGGTCCTCTGTTAACATCAATATTACATTGTGTGGTATGATGTTTTGAATGGTTCATTCTGCGGATTTTATAGCTATTTCCAGATAGTTCGCCCCAAACTATTCGGGGGGGGGGGGGGGGGGGATCCGGGATAAGTATGATTTTAAAAACCTTTCTTTTCATGATCCCGGGTAAGTTTTAATAAACTGGTACAATTTCAACCTACCATCCGTAAGGTACAGCCAAAATTTACTTTTCCCATGTTTATTTGATCTCTAACTACCAATAAAGTCATACATTATTCGCTCCCGCTCTTCGAACCAAACCTGTAAAGATACGTTTAGTAGGTCAATATTTTTAAAATCAAGCTTTGGTTGGATTGAAAATAAAAATTGCGCGTGGTTATTATGTTTCTGTTAAGAAACGTGGCGTTAAGAAGTCATGCAAGAAAATGAAAGAAAAACATATCATGATAAAAACCATTATGAATACAAAGAAAAAAAGGATAATGATAATAAAAAAGAATAAAAACAGAAAGAAAGATAAGGATAGAATAATTTAAAGATAAGAAGGATATAGCTTGTGAACCCCAGGACTGCATTCGATGCCGCGAGGACTACTCTTGCTCCAGTGAGCAACCCACGCTGCAGATGATATTCCATCCACTCGAAGTGGGGCGCTTCTTCTTGATGATGGTGGTGTAGCGCCACCCACGAACATCAAACTCTAGCTGGTAACTCCTATCTCCGGGCATCACGTTGAGGATCCTTGCCTTGCCTTCGAAGATGCGTGATGTCAGCATCCTCCTTATTGCATTCGGGTTCTGTAGCTGACGTCCGTTCACCTGTCCTCGCATCAGTGCAAACGGGTTGGGACAGGAACTGTGATAATAAGTGTTTAATCAAAACGAAAATCTTTTTATTGTAAACGTAAATAAAAGAGAAAGTATAGAATCATGACGAATTTTTTTTCATAATTTTAGAAGTTATAATATTTAATTAATATCAGTTTGGGTTTTCAATATAGTAATAGAATATTAATATAATATGCCGTCTTATTTGTTATTTTAAGTACCATATTATAACTTACCGCCAGCTTCTCTGGATTCTCTGTAGAGAACAACTGTAGCTTACCGATGAAAGAAATTACATTTATAAAAAGGTCGTTCAAACTGAACGTATTGTGACCGTGGACACAAATTTTTGAAGGCAAAACAGAAGTCATAATCGTATATTAAAAAATAATATACAATATATCTACATTTTTAGCGTGGGTCTTATTTCTATTATGAAAAATGATAATATCATTCCATAATATATTGATCCAATTCGCACACTGCATTTGTGTGAAATCTTGCTGCTCCTGATCCTGTTCAACGTGCTCCTCTTCAACACTTTTCTGACAAAAAAGATATATAATATTATAAAGATTAAATCATTATCATGTTTTAAATTACAATATTCCTTAGCACCGCTCAGCTTACTACAAATTTATAAAAGTAGTAAAATATTATTAGTCTCCAATTTGCAGATCCGAGTCATCAGCCTGCACTAATGGTTTGAGTGACTCCAGTTGGAGTTCTTTCGTTATGGTTAAAGTTATTAATTGCACCTTGAATGGAAGTACCCGGCTTGATGCAATCATTTACTGGCCCTCTGTTAACATCAATATTACATATTGTTTGGTATGATGTTTTGAATGGTTCATTCTTCGGATTTTATAGCTTGTTCCAAATAGTACGCCCCAAACTACTTTGGGGGGATACGGGATAAGTATGATTTTTTAAAAACTTTCTTCTGGTGAACCCGGTTAAGTTTTAATAAACTGGTAAAATTTCAACCTGCCATGTGTAAGGAACAGCAAAAATTTACTTTTCCATGTTTATTTGATCTCTAACTACCAATAAAGTCATACATTATTCGCTCCTGTTCTTCGAACCAAACCTGTAAAGATACGTTTAGTAGGTCAACATTTTTCAAATCAAGCTTTGATTGGCTTAAAAATAAAAATTGGGCGGGGTTATTATTTTTCTGTCAAGAAACGTGGCGTTGAGAAGTCATTCAAGAAAATGAAAGAAAAACATACCATGATAAAATCAAAATGAATGCAAAGAAAAAAAGGATACAAATAATAAAAAAGAATAAAAACAGAAAGAAAGATAAAGAATAATTCAAAGACAAGAAGGATATAATATTATTATAAATTTTGTTTGAAAATGGCAATACATTATAGTGCGGACCAAGTAGGAGATAAGTTGTTGTCGTATCGATATTCTGTAACATCAAAGATTCTAAATGCATCCCCTGTTTCAGCTTCGAGCCACAACCTTGCTTGGAAATATGCCCTTCGAATATGCTGCCTTATTTCATTAGACGAGCATGGAAGATCCACGAATCTTACGTTTCTTTTTTGCTGCCGCATCCTTAGTCTAAGTTTGTCAAAAGTTGCACAGTTCATTAAGCTCTGAAGGCCTTGCTAGCTATAACTTTCACCAGAAATAGTTGTGCTAACTTTGTGCCTACTTTTGAAACAGTGTCGCAACCTGTTAATGCGTGTCCTGCTGGCTTCTCACTAGACTAGAGTCGACTTTGCCAAGTAGCAAGTGTAGAGGATGTAATTCTTTTTGCTGTATTGTCTTTACTTTAAAATCACCCTTTCTGAGCGAGTAAAGATTAAGACCATGCCATGCACTTTGGAGATATTAAAGAAGGTTATATTATAAAGCATGTGCAATGTGCATTGCTGCTCTTCTGCCCCTCTCAAAATGGTAATTTACACTTCCGATGGTAATCTGGGGCTAAGTATGAATTTATCAGTTTATAACGAACAAAGTCGACGTGACTCAACATAAAAGCACGCTTTTTGGCAGGCTTTCCCTTGTGATATAAAGATTAAATCATTATTATGTTTTAAATTACAATATTCCTTAGCACCGCCCCTCAGAAGCTTCCTCTGTTGGGCGGTAAGAAAGGAATCCTGTGGTGATAATGGTGTACGCTGTTTCCAGCTTCACAGTCTTCTCGTCCTCCACCTCACAGCTCTTCCCGTTCAAGGGGGAAACTTGAAAATAATACAGTTTCTCCCCTTGAACACCGGAACTTCCTTGTCGATACAGATGCATATTTTTCCATACTGTTAGGTATGATCGCGATGTTGTTGAGGTCATCCTCTAAATTGGCGAGCGCTTTAATCACCATAATATGCACATCGTACCCCTGCTAATGATTACCCACTTAAGAATATGACAGTAATGTTGGTCATGTGAAGTGGGAATTGGGATTAATTTTACCATAATTTCTATTTTGTTTAAAGATATATTTATATCAGTAAAATTACCTTGAAGTTATGAAAGACTATCGTCAGATGTCTGTCAGTCTCTCGCTGACGGACACATATACGAAAGCTGAACATTGTAGGTAGACTTGATTTAAAAAATAAAAACTATCGTGTGATTGATCACTCTCAGCTTGTAGAGCTACTCGGATTGAATTTGAGGATACTGTACTAGTTTGAGAGGTGGATAGATTTCTGATTGCTTCGAATATCTCTGGGCCATATGTTACCGCATGAGTCCTGGAAGCAGTTTCCTGAAAATATTGCATCATTTAAACTCTGATTTTAAGTATATCCTATATTCCTCCTCTGGGTCATTGAGATTTGGGAAGTATCTGGTGAACCATGTATCGAGTCGATGGCGTTGAATCCTTGCCCCAGCAAGGTCGCGAATCTTGTGCCCAGCTGCAGGTACTCTCTCCTTCCAGCCATCTTTACCGCTTGTGTAACGCTGAGCTCCAGATTAAGGGTGAAGTTTTGAGGTAACTTAACCGGCCCTGGGATCTTATATTATTCGTGAATGATACCATGTTTCCTCTATAAGCTAATCTGTCTGTTTGCACCTCAACAGACGCTGAGGTCTGTTTCATTGAGTCTACTGTTTTCGGTGAAGGTCTTAAGGACGCCTGGGTCTGGGTTGCTGAAGCTACTCCAGGTCTTGAATGCCCAGTTTGGGTCGGGGGTGTATTTCTTCCTCGTCCTCCTCCTCTCACGGTTCTTGAGGTTGAGGTGAACGTAACTCTCAGAGGTTGGGGTGTTGGAGATTCTTTTCTCTCTGTCAGGTTAGGCGTTGTGATTCCAAGGAATTCTAAGGGGTTGGTTTCCGAACAGATGAAACCGCTTGTCTGGTTGGTTGGAGCTAACCCTACTAGTGGGTCGAGAGACTCTGTTCTGAGTTTCTTACTTAGGCAGTTGAGTGAAAAAATCCAGGTCCTCCTCCGAAAGTTGTATTGCTATGGCGTCTTCGATGTTTGGGTGGTAAAAATCACCAAGGAGGGTTGATTTTGAAACAGATGTAGACATGATTAGGTAACTGAGGTGTAACGTGGTTAGTTATTGGGTTGCACTGTACTTGCACTGATCCACTGTGTAAACAGTGTGGTTCTTTGATTTGATGGATATAGTGATCTTCTGGCGATGTCTCCGTCTCGATCTCATTGATCATCACAGGACCCTGCAAGATTTTCCTATAAAGTTCATGGTGCAGCTCCTTTAAATCTTTCATGGTGCAGCTCCTTATCTTTCACACATTTCTTTACTCCGGCTGCAGTGCTCTTCTGTTTACCGTTCTCTTTGTCATCAATGCAGGATCCAGCGTTTGTCGTCATACCGCGTCAAACCAACTTTACACTGGTCGACTGTGCAGACAGTGTGGTTCTTGGAACGGAATGTCATTTGATGGATATAGTGATCTTCTGGCGATTTTTCCGTCTCATTGATCACCACTGGACCCTGTAAGATTTTCCTGTAGAGTTCGTGATGTAACTCCTTGTCTTTCACGCACTTCTTAACCCCGGCCGCAGTACTCTTTTGCTTGCCATTCTCCTTGTCATCAATGAGTATTGAATACATCTTGGAACGTAATCCTGAAAAAATGTATAGTAATTATTTATTAAAGATGATGTAGCAGTGTAATTCAATATATGAACAGTATCAGATTGAGTTATAATTTAAAGTAAACAAATTAAAACCATGACCAGAATTAAAATAAAATGAAAAACTAACCTATAAACTCTATGATGATCCACCCCTCAGCCTCATCCTTGAACTTGCCAATAACTGCTTTATTCTCATTTGAGAACAGCGCCCGACAGCGGGTGATCTTCCGCTAGGTTTGAAAAGTCAAAATAACTCTTCAACCTGACCAGAAATAATGATAACTAAATATAAATAAAACAATTAAATGATACAAGTCGGTGTGATTTGCTTCACAAGGAATTGCTTCCATCCCTTAATTGTCCTTGCTTCACCCTCATCCACTTCCATGAACTGTTGGTAGATGGGGTCTTTCTCGAAAACCAAACATGTGTGATATGTTTCTTTCTCAAACATAAACTCCAGATGGCAACCCATGCTGTAGCTATACTTTTTGTTCACCACCTTCTGTATCACCACCCGTTGGTTGAAGTATGTCGCCATATCCTCCCCCTCAATCCTATCGCATTCTTCACATGTGTATTGCTGAAAGTGAAATATTTTTAGATTAATTGTATTTTATGTCTAATCATTACTTTATATCAATATTATAGCGATATATTAAATCCAAGCAGTAAAAGTCTAGAGGGTCTCACACGGGAATACATATATAATAGCAGATTATCAAAATATAGTTACCTGGGCATTTGAGATTTGGGAAGTATCCGGTGAACCATGTATCGAGTCGATGGCGTTGAATCCTTGCCCCAGCAAGGTCGCGAATCTTGTGGCCAGCTGCAGGTACTCTCTCCTTCCTGCCATCTTTACCGCTTGTGTAACGATGAGCTCCAGGTTAAGGGTGAAGTTTTGAGGTAACTTGACCGGCCCTGGAATCTGATCATTCGTGGATGATACCATGTTTCCTCTATCAGCTAATCGGTCTGTTTGCACCTCAACAGACGCTGAGGTCTGTTTCATTGAGTCTACTGTTTTCGGTGAAGGTCTTAAGGACGCCTGGGTTTGGGTTGCTGACGTGACTCCAGGTCTTGAATACCCAGTTTGGGTTGGGGGTGTATTTCTTCCTCTTCCCCTTCCCCTCACTGTTCTTGAGGTTGAAGTGAAAGTAACTCACAGAGGTTGGGTTGTTGGAGTTTGTTTTCTCTCTGTCAGGTTAGGTGTAAGAAAGTCAAGGTCCTCCTCCGAAAGCTTTATTGCGATGGCGTCTTCGATGTTTGGGTGGTAAAAATCACCCAGGAGTGTTGATCTTGTAGTTGGGTGAGATAACCCAGTTTGGGTATTATAGGATGATGAGGTACCCGGAAGTTGGGTTTGCTCAGTTGGACTCCTTGTCGGGGTAGATGAAACAGATGTAGACATGATTAGGTAACTGAGGTGTAACGTGGTTAGTTATTGGATTTGACATATTATTGAAGTTGGTATAGATTTGTTACATAGAACCGTAGGGATCTATCTTAGGATCCGACAAAGTATTCGTTTCCTTAAGAATGGTTTGGGTAAAATCATTGTTAGCCATCGATTCAGGGTCGATTTCAATAGGATCTAAAACTGAAGGAGATGTGCTTGATGAATGCCCTTGTACGGCCGTGTGAAGTTGCAATAAGTTTGAATAGGTAGCTTGTTCTACCTGTTTTGGTAAGCGTGAGAGGTTTACAATTTACATGGGGTACAGCGTGATGTTGAGCTTGCAAATGTGGGGCGAGCTCATATTTGAGTGCTTGAGCTTGTTGATTTTCTAGTCGCATTCCTGCCATTACGGTACGTAGCATATGATTCTGTTTGGTCAGTCTTTTCATGCAACAAATGGTCATTATTCCTACAAAAGAGAGGATAGTGCTGGCTATAGAAAATACACTTGAGTAATCTAGGAACTTGTTTCGGTATACATGAAGACTTAAGAAATTAGGCGTGTCATCTAGTTTTGCTAGGATTGAGGTGTTAGTTAACTCGTCTTTGAGTCTGGATATGTTTAGCGAGATCAGTTTATGCGAGCTTTTTGACAGGTATGTTTTTAGTGCAAGTGAGTGTTCTTGGTTCGTCCAGGACAAGTTGCGTATGGTGATAATGTTATCCAGAGAGTACATTATCCGTTGGTCGCTTTGTACCATTTGGTAAGAGCGCCACTCTACAAAGTAAGAGAAGTGACCAGGTGAGCTACCTAATAGGGGACCCACAAGGTGCATGCTCCTTGACACGTTTTGTAGCCTGAAAGAATTACAATATAATATCAGCTTTGTTTTTCCTTCTATTATAATCCATAGAAGATTTTGTGACTTAATCCAAATTTATAAAAGTAGTAAAATATCATTTCAGCAAGCTGGTGAAAGACATCAGCTCCTTTTTGCCCCCCAGATTGTGCCCAACCCGTAACACGTCCTTTTCCTCGGCTTTCCTATCAGCTCCAGCCTGGTTGTACGATAACCGATGGCCTGGTATCGACGACATTACTCGCGCAATGTCTTTTCTATTTTGATAGATCTATTTATATTCATAGAATTAATTTGCGCGTTAGTTCCCAGGAGTAGATTGGAGGATGCAGCTATGAAATAATTTTGCTTAGTCTAGACTGCATTTTATATTATGATATTGTATTGAATTATGTTAATTATGTTCCCAGTCCCCGGCGCGGGACCGGGGACAGGCTCTTCCCGTCAGCCCAGAGCATATCCGATATCGCTGACCGTCTGCAGCCCCACTTTGAATAGGTCTCGGATTTTTTCGATCAAATCTTTTTCAAAGCATAGAAGCAGGGTACCTTTACCTACGTCCACCACCCTTACTAGGACAGTAAATGGTGGGCTACTCATTCCACAGCCCATGTCTTAATTTATACTCATTCTTACTAATTATCTTACCCTAATCTCCATATATCATCTCCATAGTCCATACCATTACGAATTCTACTTAGTCGACCATACACTTAAGTGCCACTTAAACGTTTTTTCGGAAAGGACCCCCAGGACAGGAAGCTTTTTATTTGTTGAGATATGCTAGTGAAATCTGATTTTCGCAAATTAATCACAAAAAAAGAAAGATGGTGTAAAAATGTGTGAAATCAGCTTTGAAAACTCAAAATACAAATAAGAAATGAAAATATCGAAAAAATAAAAACGGAACAGAAAGATCAGAATAAGTACAAGGGAGAAGATTTAAAAATATGAAGAATTAATAGAATGTAGATAATCTCTATTATCTATTGTTCTTAACAAATTATTATTATTTATAAGGGAGATATAAAACTTTATGCCTCTTGCTGAGTCTTTACCATGAGCTCTCAGAGGCGGCTCGTTAAGGCGTCCAGGCGTCCACGGACGCCCTAAAATAATTAATCGGGAAAAAATTGATTAATGATGAATCGAACAAAAAAGTTTCGCTCCGCGGTTAAGCGCGTAAATATTAGTTTTCATTTTAATATAAGCCGCGCAAAAACATTCTCGCCAAATCAGTCTTGAAATTTGTAATTTTTACTCCGCAAACGTTCAAGATCACGCGCACGTGACTGCTAACGCAGGCACGGCAGGTTGACAATTTGTTAGGTGGTCCAGAGAGGTGGCTGGACTCCCAGAAAATCTGGATTTAACACACAATCAATTGTAAACTGTACAAAGCAAATCAGTGCGCGTCTCGCTGTATAAATTGATGGCTTCACTCCAGATTTGGTGGTCCGAGACCCCCGACCCTTTACACCAAACATTTGAGGGCAGAGGTGCGCGTCACTTACACTGCACGTGTCGAATCGACACGCTCAGATCATCTGGACGACTCCTTTCGTTGTACTTGTTGTACGTGTTCATTTCTCCCGTTTTAATTTTCGGTTTGCCGTTCGCCGAGTTTTCTGTTTTGATATTTGCTGCGTCCTGTATGCTTATTTATAATTTATTATTTAAGTGTTAAGTAGGTTTTAACTTTGAATTAGTAAAATCAAAAATGTGAATAATAATTAATATTAACAGTAACTAACATTTAACACTGATTCATCAGTCAATGTCGACATTTAATTTCTCCAACTGCAACGTATCGATCCGTGGCGACCCTCCCAGACCAAGAAGCCAGACTGGCGGGTCTGGGAGGAGAAACCGGCCGAGACTGTGCTATCGGTACGTTAAACTTTTAAAGTTTAACTTTTGTTCATTGTTGTAACAACTAACATGTAATTAGTAATTACTAAATAGTAAATACTAACTTGGAACTCCAGTCTTCTGTCATTTTCTCGATTTAATGTTAAATGTTTATATTCTACCATTGCAAGTTGAAGTGACTGGTGAGTAAAACAACTCAAAGATTAAAGATACAAATTTTATTATTTAGGCTAATGGAATAATTAATTTCAGCTGTCAGAGACCGGGACACCTGGTCAGGGACTGCTTGGATCCCTACCGACAGCCCCCACCCACCCTGCCAACCAACCCCCCAGCAGCTCCCCACCAGCCTGAGCAGCCTCCTACCCACCCCCCAGCAGCTCCCCACCAGCCTGAGCAGCCTCCTACCCACCCCCCAGCAGCTCCCCACCAGCCTCCAACCCACCCACCACCGGCCCCCCACCAGCCTCCAACCCACCCACCAACACCACCTGTTGTGACTAGCTAGTTTATAGTTATGAATTTTAATTTTTATATGAATTTTATTTTATGATATACGTGTTTATTATATCGTCAATAAATGATAAATCTAACAACATCTGATGTTGAACATCAATCAAGTCTCAATGTTATACTTTTATTCATTTTCGTAATTTATATTCGTTATTATCTTTTAATCCACTATTTTGTTAGCAAGCACATCAAATTTCCTGCCAATTCAATATTCATCGTACATTCTACATCTTAAACTCTTCAAAAACTTGGGATTCAGCCTCAACAGACAACATCAAACATGTGAGTTCATAAATAGTAAATACATTTATGATAAATGATTTACGTACATTTTATAATAAAAATCAATTGAAATTTGAAGCTATAGTTACTAGTTGCAAACTTGAGAAATGAAACTGTACCGAACCTTATGTAATATGTTATACTAGTTAAATAGCCTATAATGACAAATCTACAGGAATACTGTTGGTGCTTTGAAAAGACGTCCTTTTGCGACTCTCACTGTAGACGAGAAGCGAGCAGTTGTCAAGCTTGGCCCTCATAAACCTGTCGTAACGATACAGTATCAAACCAAAGCAGGAAACGTTCAGAATCAGAAACACAATCCTACCGTCAATCCAATGGGTAAGAAACTTACTGCTTAGCAGTATTAATCAATCATGAGTATTCAAATATTATAGTGTAGTCACTATTTGATAAACACATATTAATAAACTGTGGAACATAGCTATCGACATTGGCTCATGTGAAGATTGATATATAGAACTTAGAAGTCATTGAATTCGGACATCCTCAGACAACTTCTTATCGGCTCGTGAATGGCTTACCGTCGACGTAGAAGATAAAAGACTTTACTGCTTTCCCTGTCTCCTTTTTGCAAAAAAGAGAGATACGTGTTGGGTGGAAACAGGATTTCATAGAATAAGCTATATTGGCAGTAGTATGGAGAAGCATGATCAGGCTCGTGAACACCGTAGCGCCGTGATAGATCTGAAGCTCTTCCTGAGAAGAACGAACCATTTTGAGGTTGGGAGTCTCATTTCCATGAACAGTGATGAGATAGAGCGCCACAACAATTTAGTCTGCAGAAACAGGGAGATTGTAAAACGACTAATAAATGCTGTTATCTATTTGGCAAAACAAGAAATGGCGTTCCGTGGACATGATGAAAGTGAAACCTCAGTGAACCGAGGACCCTTCAAAGAGCTGCTGAGGTTGGATAATTCACTGATGTTATAACTTTAATATATTATTGAACAACAGTTACTAGTACCTCCACTATTGTCAAGTATTGTACCATCATTGACAATCGATTTGTTGAAGCTAAAACATTTATATTTTCAGCATGGTAGCTAAGACGGATTCCCTGCTTTTTGACCACCTAGATTCAAGCACAGTGTTCAAAGGTGACAGTAAGACGATCCAGAACGAAATTATTGCTTTGATCGCAACGGTAATACTTAATAGTGAATTAACCTTTTTTTCGTCATCTTTTTGTCAGTCTTAAAAAGAATGTTCTCATTGATAAGTTATAAATCATTAATATATTATCATCATACCTAGATGACCAGAGAGCTCATCAAAGAAGAAGTCAAGTCTGCTGATTTCTTCGCTGTTATTGCTGACGAGACCACTGATGTTAGCACTACAAACCAGCTAACAACGATTCTAAGATATGTGCACAACGGACAGCTGAAAGAACGATTTCTGGGATTCGATAACGTATCTGAAGTTTCAGGTTTGTAATTTAGCTCCAATAATTTTCAATAGAAAACTTAAATTAATCCTTCTTTAACTATGTTTGGCGCAAAATTGTTTTGGATCTATAACTTCAATCTTGTTCCTTCCGCAGGAGCTGAGGGTCTCGCTGGGTTCATACTAAATATTTTAAAAGAATTTGACCCCGAATCCAAGCTGGTAGCACAGACATATGATGGAGCTAGTACAATGTCTGGCCGTACATCAGGTGTTCAGGCAAGGATACGTGAAGTGATCAAGAGAGCCATCTTTATTCATTGTATGGCCCACAAACTCAACTTGGCCCTACAAGATGCTACGAAGGCGATATCCAAATGTGTTATATTCTTTGCAACGTTATCAGGAATAAACGCATTCTTCGGTGTCAGCTACAAGAGAACTGCACAGTTCCATAAGTCATGTCATCTGCATCAGAGTAAGTTCGCTTCAAAATGATTATTGTCGTGATGTCGATTATATGTGGGCCGGTGCTTTTATTTCAAGGCAAACATTTTGTCGTATTAATTTATCTCATGACTCATCAATTTTCTATTCCAACAGCAACCGAACTAGCGGGAGGGAAGAGAAAGCCGCAAGCTGCGAGTTCTGCAACGCGATGGGCTTACAAATCGCGAACAGTAAATGGTATAGTAAATGACATGGAAGCATACAGGCACTGCTTTCAAGAAATTGCCCATGGCACTTCAGCAGTCTGGACTCCAGACTGCCGCAGCACAGCTCAGGGATTTCTGAATAAGCTGGAAGACTTTGATTTTCTTTTTTTATTGCACACTTATCACGATATTTTCAGAATCACCGATATCATGTACAAACAACTGCAGAAAGTCGGCCTCGATCTTGGATGGAGTTCTTCGACCGTCGAGGAAGCTGTTACTCAACTCAAACATCTCGAGGATAACAAATTTGCTGACATCTATGACTGTAAGGTAGACGCTAACCCTCCAGAAACACGTACACGGAGGAGAAACCGTATGTTAACCGATTATACTGAGGGATTACATTTATTTAGCCCTGAGCGTGAAGTGTTTATGGATTATAATTATCTCCGGCGATTTCGACAAGGGATTTATACAGAATACATAGTCTTCATCTTCAAGTCAAATCCAACAGAAACTTACTGGGCCGCGCTCAGCCTGTCATTCCGCCAAATCTATATGTTAATGAACATAATAGCCTGGGGTCCTCAGGTAAACAGAAACAAGAAAGCACTCTAAAATGTAGTTGAGTCGTTGAACAGGAATTTGGTCAAAGTCATTGAAGTCACGAGCAAATCTGGATGACTGAAGCCAAGAATTAAATTTGTTTAGAGCCCAGTTGTTGACTCTAACTGTACTGTCCGGAACACGATTGGAAAGCAGTTCATCAATCTGAATGTCAAACCGATCTGTCATAGTGGAGCAATAGCTTGAACGTTAGCAGGAACAAGAGCTGGAAGGAGAGCAAGCAAAACAATACTATTTTTAGGGCACGGACAAGGGTAGCTGGCTATCATAGAGTGCCTGCAGGAGACAATCCTGAACTGAGCCATCGCGACAGATGTAATGAGCTTTACACCGAGATTTAAAAAAAAACAATACAATATCCTGTATTGAGATTAGATTTGGTAACATTGAAGAACTTAAGTTCTGCAAACTGCTCAATAGCGAGAGTTTCACCAACTTCAGTAAAAAGGACAAATTTCCGGATGGTATCTTGGCTGACTTGGAGAACTCTGTGTACGGCTCCTTGTTCAACACAGCTGCCCTTAAAGATCAGCTAGGCTATCTCTACAATAGTAATATGCCTGGAAAACTGTCAGATCTGGCCAAGATGTTGTATGAGTGTGACCTGAAGAACGACCTTCCTCAAGTTTACAGATTGACAAACTTAGCTCTGACTGTACCTCTGACAGTTTGCAGTGCAGAGCGATCTTTTTCTGCTCTGAAAAGAATTAAAACACGTCTGAGGAATACGATGGGAGACGATCGACTGTCGAATCTTGCTGTTATTGCAATTGAAATCCAGCTAGTAGAAAGTTTAGATATCGAGAATATTATTAACCGATTCGCTGCTGAAAAAGATCGTAGAATCGAGTTGACTCTGAGAAATTAGATGCCCAGCAACGATATTGCTGTCCTTCCCTCTGAAGAATTCTAATGAGTTCTCTTTCAAACTTGCATCAGAATACTCATACTCTAAACCCCAGCAGAGGAAGGGTATTTTAGGAGAATCCATCAGTAGATTCAGAGTATTACACAGTCTCACAGCATTAGTTGAAACAGTGTAAGGTGAAGGTTTCATTCCATTACCTTCCCAACAAAGTGAGTAAACAAGTACAGCACGATAACCTGAGGTAACTTCTTTCAGCTCATGTGGACAACTTGCGTAGTGCGCAACAAACTTACAGTGAGTGCTACTACCAGTGGTACTGTTGTTGAAGACTTTGGATGATTTCAGGTGGTTCACAACTAAGTCGCCTCCAGTAAAAACTGAAGGAAGTTGAACAATCAGGGTCCCAAACATGTTCTCTTCTTTTTCAGTGTCTTTATGTTCAGCAAACTTGCCTTCTTTTTCATAAATAAGGAGTTTGTAGATCTTCCCGTATGGCGTATATTGTCGCACCTGCTAGACCTAAACGCCGACTTTATCTTCTTTTGGATAAGAACACTGACCTGTTTGACAAATTCATGATTTTTTATCTCAAACTGGTATGGCTCTAACTGGAAACTATTTCTCACTGAAGTATCAACTAATGTCTCTTCACCCATTCCATAGGGGGACTGTTTGCAAAGCGGCTTCACACAGTTAAATGTTGTGTCATTTAGTGGGAATGGTAAAAGCCCATAGTCTTTCACATCAATCAAAGGAATAACGGGTAATTCAACATCAGGAAGTAAGCCACCAGTAGCAAAGTCTCCAGAATTAGTTGAATGAAGTTTCATCAAAGCTCTGAGATTTCTCTTAAGTTAGGTTTCACATCCACAAAAAGATTTTGTGGAAACGTCTCCATTGATAGTTTGCTCTATTTTAATGTTCATTGACTCAACAGGTTTTGACCTGAAAAAGATCGCAGAATCGAATTGACTCTGAGAAATTAGATGTTTGGGAGCTTTGTGGATCACTCAAAAATGCATACTATGTGAATCGTTAAAGTACGCTGTGTGGTCCGTACACTTTACAAGTACGCTGTGTGGTTCGTACACTTTACAAGTACGCTGTGTGGATCGTACACTTTACAAGTACGCTGTTGGATCGTACACTTTACAAGTACGCTGTGTGGTCCGTACACTTTACAAGTACGCTGTGTGGTTCGTACACTTTACAAGTACGCTGTGTGGATCGTACACTTTACAAGTACGCTGTGTGGATCGTACACTTTACAAGTACGCTGTGTGGTTCGTACTACTTAGAACAACTTTTATTATTTGTTTTCTTTCAAGATAAGTATTTTGATACATTTTAATTTTAGGCAATAATGAATAATGAACTTTACATACTTACATAATTTTATTCACATTATATGATTAATGATATATCCCAGGTTAAACAAACACCCAACGTCCCAAGTGTTGGGCCATTTGGTAGGTTTTGTGATTACTCCTTTAAAAACAAAAAATGAAAAAAATACTTTTTATCCACCACTATCCATTTCTACAAACATTACCTACCAAATGGGTCGGTGAGGGACCGGGATTTATTAAATAGCATTGCCAATCGCTGATCATTTTTATTGCAGAATTGTCAGTTGACATTAAGATACTGGAGTACTGTAAAACCTTGGCAGTTCCCCTTCCCTTCTCTCCCTCTATGAGCATTGAGAACACTCAACACTGCGGTATTGACTCTATTTTTGAGAAGCCCGACTCCTCAACGTCTAAAGGTAGTTATTTGATTAGACAGTCCTTAAATAATCACTACTGACTACACCCTTACTTTTTTCCTACACTAATGTCTTAAGCTATTTTCAAATTTCTTAAGGCTTACCCACACAATTCTCTCAAATCTCCCTCTAGCTCCTACTAGTTGTTCATTTTTGGGTTTAATTCGCAGCATATTACTCTCCATACATCTTCCAGGACCTTGAAGACATATACGGCTAACGAAATGAAGAGTTCTAAAATCTAAAGCAGCTAGGCTAACACTGACATTCAAAAGCGGAAAGCCAAACCCGGTTAGATCGTTCTGTCTTGTTTTGTGTTCTTTAAATATCGGCGTAAACTTTAATTTTGCTTCTAACTTTGTAGTTTGTTAGTCAATACTTAATTAGTGTATGCATTGTTGATATTCGGTTATTAAATTTATAAGAGGCAATGTGCAAAATGGCTTTCACAATCCAATATCCATGTGAGAAGGTCATTATGCAGTGGCGGTCGCGCGCGAATAATTTAAAATGAATAAAGTTGTATTTGTAACAGCCAGTAAAATGCGCGCGCACCTACGTACGCCACACATTGGTGTTTCCACCATTTTAATGAGTAGTATGTTTCCAGTATGTACTATGTAGAAACAACTTAACATGAAAAGCTAGCTGTTGATCCAAGCAGAGATGTATTACTTTCTGAACTGCTTATTCTACATAATAACTGATAACATCGTCATACTTATTGTGCTTCAGCTTTAAGCTTACCAAACAGTCAACAGAAATATTAAGTTATTAAGCTGATCACCAGGAGTACACCGGTGAACTTCGGTCCTTTATAGACTATTTAATTAGAGTTTAGTCTGGCAAAAAATGTCGAAATGAACGTAAAATATTTAACTTAGCTAGCTCAAAACATGGCAATTTACTTAAATGCATGAACTGAAGAAAAGGTAATTTTAGGCATTTTTATGCCGTTCTGAGGGGTTTTCGGAGCTTCAAATCAACCGGCTCCGCCAGCCGGCGCGGGCCTCCGGCGGTTGGGGGGCCCGCCCCCCAAACCCCCTGAGTCCCTCGACCGGACTCCCGAGTAAACCAACAGCCTGGTACCACGAGCCGCCTCTGTGAGCTCTCGCACACCTCCAACGTGCAATTTTCTCTGTTCTAAAAGTGTGAAAACAATGAGGACCGATCTAAATTCGAAAGAAAAACGGAACAATACACATGATTTGAAAGAGACGTAGAACGACTATAGCGTTACATCGTTTTTTCATTATTAATTCATTATTCATTGGATGATTGGGCGATCGTTATTTCTCGTATGTTATTTAAGTGCAACAAACCAGCTGTTATAAGAAATAATATACTTTCTGCTTTAATTTAGCTACAAGCACATAGCTGAGCACTCACTAATTTTTTTTCCCAAAGTCTTTTGCCCTGTTTATGCAGGTTTTTATTTTCTTTCCTGAAAAAGAAGTGGTTTAAATCAAGTTATCTCGTTATTTGTAAAGTTTCTGGTCCAAAATAACAGGACCCAGAAGCCTCACAAACTCGGTGATTTTGACTGGTCTAACTGATCTGACAGTGGACGGTGGACAGATGGCAACTTCACAGTGGACGGATGGCAACTTCACCGGTTCTCGCTGCTCGCCTGTTAAGAGGCGAGCTTGGATTTTAGCACGCCAACTTACTTAACGGCCTACTTCAAGTATTATTTCTCCATAACTTACTAGAGATTATTTATTTATTATATTTCATTAAATTTAGATGACATTAATCTAACTACGTATAATCGGGCTTCTTTTAACTAGAGTATGAAAATTCAAGTTCCGGTGTTATGATGATTGACAGCGGGATACGGCAGCGGGGTTAGAAATCAATGTCCAAAAAGGCGTTGAGATCCTGAAATATATAACCGGTTTTAACAATATTATTTGAAATAAGTATACTATAGTTGAATTATAATAAATTCAACTCATTCTGAAGTCTTCCGGTTTAAGACTCACTCGGGGAAGTATAAGCTCTAATAAATTTGAAACTTAACAATATTTTAGCCACTGCTTTTCCCATCGGGAAGTTTACAATTCCAAATAACTACTAAGTGACGAAAACTTAAAATACTAAATACAGCTTCACGCCGTGGGACATTGCAACCCTACTGATAAAGACTTCAAAACTAATCGACCGACTACCAGTCTCTCAGTAAAACTTTTCTATAATTACTATAATACAGGCCTAGATGTCATGTCTACGTTCACTTTTTCTATTTTTCCTCTCCCCTAACTTTATCTTTTTCCCTAATTCACTGAGTCCAGAATTTCGTCTCTTGCTCTCCCTCGTCTTCGTCCCTTAGCTTTATTCGATTTTACTATTTTAACTTGTCCTCTTCCTCGTCCTTTTCCAGCATCAATTTTGACCTTTTGTGTCTTGTCTTTGCTGACCTTACATTATTTAACTGTATTATTTGTTTATCTATGTTTGCTGATTTCTCTTAGCAATGAAACAACAGTTGATGTCTAATCAAGCTGAAATAATGTATATCAATAAATAGCACTAATCAATATAATAGTTAAATGCAAACAATTCATTATTAGATAATCTCTAACCTATTATGAGACAATTAGAAAACCTCATCAAACAAATGTAAGTTAAAATAAGTTAAGTTATCACGTTAGGTGATACTATAATGTTCATTTTTTAGTGAAAACGATCGTCGTTTACTATTAATAGTCTCTTGATTAGGGAAACCGGCAAATCGTGTGCAGGTTCTGTCAGGAACTCCGACTGCCCGATTTTGTAGACCAAATACTTTAGGGTCGTCCTAATCGGGTTTACAAAGAACCTCCAGTTTCGCCTTTTTGTCATCGCCATTTGAGAGACATGATGGGACCCATGTAGTGAGTCTATCTCCGTGAATCCTTGTCCTAGTAGTGTGGCAAATCTGGTTACCTACATAGTACTTATTTATATTCTACTTACAAAAAATAATTATAAATTCTCTTAACATTGAGACAGTCCAGTTATCTACTGCGGGAATTAAAGATCTTTAATAAATATTTCATTGTTTTTAATTCAATAAAGAGTTCTTGCTAGCTGAAATGTTTATTGGATAAATTTGGAGGAGGTTCTCTTCTTAACGGATGACATAACAAAGATACATTTTCTGGATCATGCTCTGGGTCCGTGTAAATCTCATGGAGCAATTCAAGTCCAAGAGATAATCGCTGTGCAAGTGATCATTGGACTGGTCACGTTTCCACATAGTGTACATGAATACCTCTCCGGTTCCACTGGCCACTCCGACTGGCTTGATCTCGAATTTTACCTAATTTTTTCCTCAAAAGTTAGCTCCTCATAATCACACGTCCCTACTTTCAGAGTTTTATGGTACATGTGCGCTGACAGCCTTCCCAGCGACATCCTCACAGCTTTCCGTTTTAACGTCAAGGTCAATACTGGCCAAAAGTCCTCACTCAATACCGATCCCCTCAATTTCTCCTCTTTCAACAATTCCGCCACCTTCCCCAAATACCGGTACTCTACCCCATTTTGCGATCCGTCTAAACTTTAAAAAACCGCCTGTTGTGAGGTT